AGGTTAGTCATTCATATACTGCTGCATGGGATGGGCTGTAGCTACACCCTAAGGTTTTAAAAACTGAGCTTAAATAAATGATTAGCGGTAATAAAAGCCGAGGGAGGTCAACAGGGATCACTGACTGTTTTAGGAGCTTTTTGAGATCAAATAGAAGAAAATACATAACATTAAACATGTTGACAATGCAAAAGCCATATTAAACGCAGACTACTTTAGACCCGGAAGTAGGATTCGTCGAGTCATCACTGAACAACCGGATTGCCTGCACCGTCCGCCATTTTTGTCTCTCGCTTTGGAAACTGGAAACCGTCTGGAGTTCTTTACTTGAAGGTAAATAAGAATTTAAAGCTAAAACACCAGTGAGAAAGACTGTAGACCCTTTAGTTATGTGGACTTTTACTGGTGTAATGTTATTTTTCTGGTATGTGGGTTGTTTATCAAAAACCATGAAAGGCCAACGTAAGGCTCCAGTTAGCTAATGGTAACCGAAATTATGCGATAAATGTGTGATAAATGTGATAAATAAATTAGTAATAATCAAATAAGATTTATATACTTTTTCAGCCGAAATTTACTGAGCATTACAAAGTTGCATCAGTGTCTGTACTAAGTGGTGGTAACTGCAGTGGCTTAACCATTAAACAAGCTAATAGGGCAGGGATACGACTGTCTTCTGCCACAAAATAAAGTAAATTCGTGCTCATGTAAGGTCATATTTATGGAATGTTTGCTTTTCTGTAGCTTTAGTTCAACTTATTCTTCTAAAATCTGTTTTTATTATTATCTCTGTTGATAGTGTGTCAGCGGTGACATTACCAGCACATAGCCACAGCCGCTATAAACATGCTGATAGGATGATGTTGCTTCTGCAGCCAGCAGCGAGAACACTCAATACAGACTTAAGATTCAGTGTAACAGTTATCTAAATGTTGCGTGTCCTTTTTGTAAGCCCAGAAAATAAAATTAAATAAAATGACAACCTCTAGCTTCAAGCTAATGTAAGCTTCATGCTATTGTGAGGTTGTTAAATTTGCAAATATGCGCTTCAAATATTCTACATGAATCATTTATATTTTTGATCTAAACATAATTCAGTCTCACGCTTTTCACTTGTTTTTAAAAGACTGTTCAGTCTTTTAAAATAAGTCAATTAAAATAATCGAAAATAGTTATGTTTTCTGTTGAAACCCCGCCCCTATAGGGTGTGTTCTGCGAGGGAAGATTGACTGTGGTGTCTGCCATTTCTTCTCTTTGTGGGAGGCGTACGTTTGGCGCAGAGCTCTATTTTGTCGAGGTAAATTAAACTTAAAACTAAATTTTCGAAAGGAAATGAAGATAAAATCTATCAGATGTGTGAATTTTTACCGAGGTAGTTTTTTGTATATACTGCTGTTGAGCAACATAATGGAAAATAAGAATTATTCCTCAAATTAAGTGACGATAATGCTAGCTTAAGCTGCAGGGCAGTATTATGCGTGTTAACATCTTTTCCAACAAACTTGTGTGCATTTAGTTAACTGGTGTTATTAAAAATGTTTTACAAAAAAAAGAAAGGTATGAAGGGCCTGCAGTAGCCATTAGTGCCAGAGAAATTGTAAGTTTTTTGTATTATCTGGGTCATTGTGACAATATAATTATTTGAAATGTATTGACTTTTTCTTTACAGATATTTGGTGCTTGTCCCTGCTGAGAGGCAGATTGTTGTCACTTCAGAGCAATTCTCTAGTGCTGTTCTGTAGTGGTATTAAAGTTAATGTTGTAATAATATTTTGTTTGTTAGTGAAGATTTGCATATGTTATCTTACTTTTTGTAAATTTTATTTTGCAGAAAGATCAAATTAAATTATGTAACTAAGTATTACTGAAAGAGAATTTTGGTGGTAGGATACAGATGTGTAATATTCCAGTTATCAACATTGTACTTAGTTTTAAGTTTTTGGATTAGGTTTGGGTTGCCACATGGAATATTTTTTTTTTCAGATAAAGGTGCGTAGTAATTTACCATATATCTGTAATGCTTTAATCAGATGGAAAATTGCTTTAATGTATAATTAATAACCATGATTAGTTTATTTTTAAAACACACATAGAACTATGTTGAACAGTTTGTCTACATCTTTAATAGATGCTAAATGTTTTTATAATTGAGGCAAAATTTGATATTTTCTAGATATCGTGTCCTGCCTGTGAAACAAAATTTACCTCTGTTCTGAGTGTCCCTAAAGGCTCTGTAGGAGTGGTGAGTGTTTGAACTATAAATAGGGCAGTACTTTAAGCTTAAGTACATTTAAGCTCTACTAAATTGCATTGCAAATGTTAATGAATCTGTCTCTCTCCCTCTCCTCCTTCTCCAGTGAATGTGGCAGTGTAAAGGGTGCTCAGTATCAGTTAAAGGTATATTGGAGCTACTTAATCATTACAAACTCAAACATCCACACTTTGGGCGTACTTCCCGTTATCCATGTATGTATTCAAAATGCCCATGCACATTTAAGACATGGAACGCCTTAAATGTACATCAAAGTAGAGTGCATTCTTCACAAGACAGTCAGATTTTGAAAGAGTTATCTATATTTAGTTGTCACTTATGTTCCTGCAAAAACTTGGCAAATGAAAAGGAGTACTTTATTCATATCAACTCACATCTAAAGAAAAATGAAAATGTTTCTTGCATGTTTGTTGGTTGCAGTTTTCAGACTTGTATTTATGGAACCTTTAAATCTCACAAGAGTCGCAGACATACACCCCATAACCTTGCAGATTTTAAACCAGGTACTGTGAAGAAATCTACAGTAGCATCTCTGTCATCATTTCCTGATGAAAAGTGTGAGGAATTTGTCGAGGAGGATTCAAATTGTATATCGGTAGATTGCAGTGATCAAGATAAAGCCCTGCCAAATGCAATAAAGCAGCAGCTTGCAGCGGCCTTACTGAAGTTGGAGTGTTTAGTACATGTGCCAGGTACAGCTATTGATGAATTTTTACAAGAACTTTATCATTTAAAAAGCGCTGCATCAGTCCCAGTATCTAGAGACTTCATAACTGAGATCTTTAGCCGTCACCATCTTCAAGTTGAAGACTCTGTAGTTGAAGAAATCCT